GGGGAATAATCTACTAGATTCACTTAACCAAGTAATAGCATTCAGGTGAGAGAAAGTCAACTAGCTTCATGCAAATACCAACATATCAGTTGGTGCATATTCACTGATTTTTAAGTATTTAGAGTCTTGTAGACAAACAACAGTGTCACATCAAACATTAGAGAGGTCAAGTACCACACAGAAAGCAAAAACCAATACATAAAAGATTGTACCCGACAATCTCCTAATTAATACCATTTTTGCATAGAGTAAAACACAAGAACGGTATTTCATGGGGGAGGGAAACAACAATGGCAGCCCTACTATAAATTAGAAACTGCTACCAAGAGAAATGCAAAGTGTGTAGGTGAACAAAAGAAACAACAAGGGTTTAGGAATTCCTTACACACAAAAAAAAAAGGTGGGTTTGGGTTTGGAAATCACTCAATATATATAGTCTAGTTCAAAATTCATATTTAATAACATTAAACATTAGCTAATTTAGCTTATGGAGGAAAAACAACTAGTCTTATGTAGTACAACTTCTATGTTTTGATTCGTCAGCAATGATAACCTACTGAGCATTGACATAAATTGAATCCGATAATGAACATTTTCTTATAAGTTGCACTAATAAACATTTTCCTGGTGAGCATGAACATATTGCTCTTGTAGGGAGGGACTTATGATGGACCGACTATGGGTATTGCTCAACAGATGATAATCAAATTAGATGAACAGGCTTTCTAAATCTTTTGCTTTAAGCAGTTGAGACATGGCATAACATCCTCTGGAAGAACTTTCGTTATAGCAGTACAGAGTATCACCCATAACACAGCAACAGACTTGTAAGGTCCTATAATCATAGGAAGGATCTAGAATTAATCCCAGTTTCATATTCCTTCCTTTTCATGAACTGGATCAATTACAATTAGGCCCTCCACTAGGAGAACCTCAGCATATAGAAAAAATTAAAGCAAGAAAATATCATGGACAATGATAGGAGAAGAAAAGAAAACGAAAAGTCTAATAGTACAAGACACATTGCAAATTCGTGAACGTTTTGCACCTGTTTCTCCATTTCCTTGGTAACAGAGAACAGATCAAACTTGACATCTGTCTTCTGAATATATAACGCAAAGGCTTGCAAGTTGCAAATATCAGTCATCATCAATTCCTGAACCCCGGGATGTTGGACCTACAGTTGTATGACAATTAGAACCTCACAATAATATGAAAGATGACATTCAAATTCTTACCTTGACGACAACATCATTCTTGTCACCTTTGAGTCTTGCTCGATGAACCTGAAAATCATACATAAAGTTAACTTTTGCAGCATGTCTTAAACCAAGAAACGACAAGATAATGTTTTAGATTTAAACATGAATTAAACTCTATGATTAAATCTATAAACTTCCTTACTGTTGGTTTGAGCTTAAAGAAATAAAGACTACTCAAATGTATCGCTTAAACACTTAATCAGCTTTCCTATCTTTCATCCCGTGATTCCAATTTTTCTAGCAAAGAAATGTGTTTTTGAGCATTCTATAATTTAGCAAGAACGAGAAAGAGAGCAGAAAAGTAGATACCTGCGCAATAGAGGCAGAGCCTAGAGGATCCTTGTCAAAATATTCGAACAATTCATCAATACTTTGACCCAACTCCTTCTCGAGCACTGCCCTAACCACATTGTATGGTGTAGCTGGTGCTTGATCACATAGAGTAACAAGCCTTTTGACCCATGCAGCTGGTGCCAAATCTGGCTTCCCAACTATTTGGGCAACCTGACATCATTAAGCATCAAAAGACTGAATATTTAACAGGATTATTACAATACAGCATAAATATTAAAAATAACTGAAACAAACAATTAAAAACAACGCAAGCATAACCAATGACAATCACGCAATTTCCTCAACAGGGTGGGGAGCGGCCCGAGATTAATACGTTTCAATCATAAAGATTTTACTAACAGTTTGATGAAAAAGAGGAGAAATCAAATTTAGATCACATGGTGCCTGTTCAAGATTAGAAAATTGAAGCAAATAACAATGAAGCCAAACCCCTTATAGATAAAGAAATTGGATTTTTCGTTTAATAGTTTAAATTCTATGCACTACCAGCATAAAAAATATCTACATGATCAGGTCACTTAAAAGGTAACAGCAAATAACTTTATTCAATAAGCATTAATTAGTAACCTAAAACGAATGGTAAATAACATGTTATAACAGGTTACATTAAATTGATAGTGTAAAAATTCACCGCACTGTTGTTGTATAACTTAAATCCTTGTATTAATAGAAGAAGTACCTTGAGGAAAAACCCACCAAGGTCAGAACACATGTTGTATATCTTGTCAGCAGCAACCGCGTGCTGCTTCTCCCACATTACTTCCTGTTTCTGCACATCCTTCTCTAAACTTGCTCTTACCTGAAATACCTACGCAACCCAAAAAAAGACCTTAAATATATATAATTGAACTACTATCTAGGAACAAAAGAGCTATGCATACACCAACACAGAGTGAAAGAGACAAAAGGGGGTTACTTTATAACCAGTATAAATATCAGCAGCCCGAACCCAGAACTGGAAAGACCGTTGCAAAGGCCGGAGTTGAGTGGACACCTTTTCTTGAAATTCTTTTAGATCAAAATGGAAAAGCATGGCGATTGTGGAACAAAAAGATTAATCTTTGATCACTGATTAGTAATTGCAAATGGGTGTTTGAAATGAGGAATTTTTGGGCATTCTTTTGTTCAGCTCAAGAGGTCTCAATTACTTGCATGGCTTCGCTTGGAGTTTAACATTAATCGAAATGGATAGTTTGAAAAATAGGATTGATAAGAAAAGCGAGCAGTAATATGTAGACTGGAGACGACTGGTGAAATTGGAAAGAATTTGTAAAGAGAGTGTTAACGCCGCAGAATTCGAGAATGGGTCTACGCAAGCCACACATATTGTACATTGGCTCCATCTTTCGGGTCAAGACAAAATCCGTACATTATTTTTTTTTCTTCCCTTTATTCCTCTTTAATTTGGATTAGCTTATTTAAGTATTTTTAAACCAAAAACTAAAAATTAGAGTTCCTAATTTATAGTTTTTGGCTTAAAAATCACTTACAACAAGCTCATCCAAACAGGCTCTTAGCTAGCACTTTTGACATAGATTTAATTAAACCTTAAAAAGAAATATATTGAAAATTAATTGTTAACAATATTTTCAAAAAAAAAAAATTAAAAATAAAAGTAGTCAAAATCTATAGCAAATTGGAGCTTAATCTTTTTATCATTAAAGCAAAGAAATGCCTAGAGTTAGAAAGTAAAAGGAGGGCCTCCATCTGTTCCGAGAATTTAACTCATAGCATTGTTTTAAATACTCCAATTGTTTCCATATAATATGTCTTATCCTATAAATTATTGAACGTGCAGATTATTAGTTTACTTTTATTAAAAAATTAAGTATAGTTTTATTTTATGTAATCTACAAAGACTCTGCATGGTTAGGAATCGAAGTTAAATTCTAGCCCCAAACATCAGAAGATGTATAGATATATCACTTAAGTTAACTAAAAAAAGTATTTTAAGCAGAGAAACGACGGTAAAAGTGTAGGACTCACAACTTAGATTAGTTCTTTAGGCGTCGCATGATTGACACATAGATGACTTTGGAAAAATTGACAAAAAATAAAGATTTTAATTCTCCAAGAAAGAGATAAATTTTTATTTGTAATCTCGAGCTTGTTCAGTTTTTTAATGATTAAAAAAGAAAGGTTGTAAAGGAAAAAGGAATAAGAAAAATGTAACACCCCAAAAATATTTTATAATATTTGCATTCTTGATTGGACATTTTTATAACGAGGAAATATTTTACTTTGCACCTCCTAAATGTGAAATGGTCAATATATAAAAATTTCTTACTTTAGGTTGTGTTAATATTGGCAATGAAGTTTCATGATATTGATATATGTAACACTTAATATTATTTTGACTAGTTGTTATTAAATATAATATATAATTAAGTTTTGGTTTCCAACCTTTTGTATTTATCTAAGAATATTTAGTAGTTGGGTAACCATTTTGTTTCTACTCTTCAAGACAAAGAAGAGTAGCTATCCATCTCTCTCTTTCTATCTATCCCTCATTCTCTCTATCTCTCTCCTCCGTAGAAACTTGAAAATCTGAAGTTTCATGAAAAAAACCATGGGTTTCTACTAAATCAACAAGCAAATTTCGTTTTTGGTGAAGATCAAGTTGCTCCTCTTGGTAAGTTTCTAAACTCGTTTTTATACTAGACACCTACTAGAATTTTTTACATATCTTTTTGGTATCAGAGCCACGGTTTGTGATACTAGGATTTGTTTTGTTGTGATAGTACCTAATATTTGTTGTTATTTTCTTTTNGAAATTTATGTACAATACAAACTTGTAGTGATTTTGAATGATTGTATAAATCTGTTAGGAAGTTTCTTTAATCTGTTGATTAATCAAGAAAGGTTATATCACCATATGTTAACATTTTGGACATTGTATTTCATTTAAAATAAAATTATAGTGTATTTTCAAAAAAAAAAATATTGCACTTTGAACCTTTTCGCATGGGCCTACTTCCGCTACTAAAATTATTCTGAATATTTTTATTAATATCTCTTTTAATATTTTGTAAGTAGGAAATTAGATTTGTTTCCTAAGTAGTACCCTCCCAAAGGGGTTGCTACAAGTTAATCCATGCCAACAATAACATCATAGTCTCGGAATGGCATTTCAAACAAGTCGACAGGGAAGACCAGATTTTGAATCATGAATGGACAATCTCGGTAAATCCTGTTAACAACAGCCTGATGACCTAATGGACTCGTGACCAGCACATCAAAGTCAAGTCTCACAGATTTAACAGTATTGGGAAATGCAAGTGATGAACAAACATAAGAGTGCGAAGATCCAGGATCAAATAATGTAACAATAGATATGCCAAATAAGTGAAATTTACCAGCAACCACGTCCGGACCATCCTGGTCATTCTTCTGTCTCATAGCATAAACTCGTGCAGCAACTCTCGACCCACCAGCCTGATTAGCTACACTCGAGCCCGCTGCTTGCATATTTCGAGGTCTAGCACTACTATTAGCTTAAGAATGAGTAGTGATAGGCTTTTGAACTGATCCTTCTGTATGTGTATAAGAAAGAGGATTAGGATTAGGACAATCCTTCACTTTATGATCCATACTTCCACAATTAAAACAAGCACCAGAAGCTCGTCTACATGCACCATAATGATTCTTCCCGCACTGTGCACAAGTAGGTGTATGAGTTTTGCCTTGGCCATAACTTGGAGTACTGGCAGTAGAAAAATTTGACTTATTCTGCTTATGATGTAATGATTTATGTGTACTCTCAATCTTGGAATAATCAAACTTTCCCTTTTTGGATGGACCGCCATAATCTGAATTACCCTTCCTAAACCTGTTTTCTCTCCTACTAGCTTCTTCCTTGTCAATTCTTTCCCAAGTAAGTGCAGCTGAAATCAACTTGGAAAAATCCTCAAGTTGTAAGATTGCCACTGATTTTCAAATATAACCATTCAAACCTTCTTCAAATCTTCTGCACTTGTCTCTTTCACCATCAATAATACCTTTAGCATAGCTAGAAAGCCTGAGAAATTTTGTTGATACTCTGCAATAGACATACTCCCCTGTCTTAAATTCAGAAACTCTTTCTTTTTAGCATCACAATAGACAGGGGGAACATATTTTGCACGAAATGATTTCACAAAGTCATCCCAAGTCAGCACCGGAGGTTTTGCTTTTGCATTTGGCACACCTACCCACCAATCATAGGTATCTTTTTGTAAAAGGGAGATAACATACTTAAATTTATCAGCATTAGTACACTCCAGTTGATCAAATACCCTCTCCATGCGCTCGAGCCATTGTTCAGCTACCGTGGGATCTGTAGTGCCTTCAAATTCAACTCCGCTCATTTTTCTCATCTTCTCAAAATTCATTTCACTAGGTTCTGACATTGTCCCAGCTAAGTGACGAAAGAATTCAACCATCTGCTGGAATGGGGGAGTCATAAATAGAGTATTATGACTCATTGCTCTTGGATTACTGCCTATTTCATTTCCACTAACACGAGGATGATTTAGGTCAGGCAAGGGTTCCTCATTTCCTCCCTAAAGGTGAGGCATGGCATTATACTGGGCCTGACTTTCATCAACGGATTCAACAGCTCTATTCGAAGAAGAGGCCATATTAAAAGTTCTATAAAAGATAAGATCACACTGCATTAGGGACATGTACATGATGCATATGCACACATGGTAGTTTAAAGAGAAAGATCATTGTCATCTAATATTATTTCTGAGGTCTTGGCAAGGAAGATGATTTGTCAAGGTTGCGATGCCTATCTTGCTCATATAGTCGATACACGATTGGGGAGTCCAAGTCTTAAGGACATACCAACTGTGTGCGACTTTCCTGATGTATTTCCTGACGATCTTCCTGGGTTGCCTCCGGAAAGGGAGATTGAATTTCCTATAGATCTTGTCCCTGGAACTACTCCTATTTCTATCGCTCCCTATAGAATGGCTCCAGCTGAATTAAAAGAGTTGAAGGCTCAATTGCAAAAACTTCTTGAGAAAGGTTTTATCCGTCCCAGTATTTCACCTTGGGGAGCTCCTGTTTTATTTGTGAAAAAGAAAGATGGCACTCTTAGGCTTTGTATTGATTACCGACAGCTGAACAAGGTAACAATCAAGAACAAATACCCATTGCCTAGAATCGATGACTTGTTTGACCAACTGAAGGGTGCCAGCTTATTCTCAAAAGTTGACTTGAGTTCTGGATATTATCAGTTGCATGTGAGGGAGCAAGATGTTCCTAAAACTGCTTTTAGGACCAGGTATGGCCATTATGAATTTTTGGTAATGCCATTTGGTTTGACAAATGCTCCTACTGCATTTATGGATCTAATGAACCGTTTATTCAAGCCTTATCTCGATCAATTTGTGGTGGTGTTTATTGATGACATTTTAATCTATTCCAAGAATAGAGAAGATCATGATAAGCATATCCGAATTGTCATGCAAATTCTGAAAGAGAGACAACTCTAC